CTTTTTCTCGTGTCTAGCGGGTGATTTGATAAATATATATATATATTAATAATGAAGAAAAATAACAACGAACATCAAACATCAAAACAAATAACAGAACTAAATATCAGGAACAACTTATTTACAATGTATCGCGTCTTCAAATGTACACGTCTTAATTAATAGACAAAAATACGTCTTTCGTCTTTGATTTGGCAAAAATGCTCCGTTTAAATAAAATGTATCGTCTTACAGCAACGTCTTCATACCTTGATCGTCTTTTACTTTCTCTCTGGTGGTCTCTCGCGTACCCCAACATGCACGCGAAAGTAAAAATAAATTATCGATCTACCACCACCTAACTGGTATCGCTCTTGCACCTGGGCATATTATATATTATAATAATTCAAATCCTACACTCGGCCATCCGACATTAAATCCGTCTCGGATTCATCACCATTATCAACCCAAGGTTTCATGTGTTCCGAACAAGTGGAAGTTCGAACTGGTCGCTCATTTCATAACATCGTATCTCTCGTTACCTTTCACAATTTCGTATGGTCCTAAATACTCTCGGCAAAGCTTCAGTCCAGGTCCAAACTGGGTTCTCCTGATGTCTACTAAATCGCCTCCTTTATAAATGTTAGGTATTCTTCTTCTTAAATTATAAGTATGTCTATTTTCTTCTTGAATCTTAAATAATTGTCGTCTACTCTCGTCTCGAACTTTTTCCTGAATTAAAACATCTTCTTTGTTACGCATTTTTACTCCTATGAGTACTTCAAATGGAGAAGCAGCAATACTTCTTTGAACCGTACAGTTCATGTTTCTCTGCACTCTGTCAACAAATTTATACCACTTTGTCGGATGTTGTAGACTGAGTTTGGTTAATACTGGAATAATAACACGATTAACTCTTTCTACTTGTCCATTACTTCGTGGGACACCAGTAGTTATTAACACATGTTTTATTCCTTCTTCAGCACAAAACGTTTGAAATTCTTGGCCAGTAAAAGCTGTGCCACGGTCACTAATAATCCTTGCGGGATTACCAAAAACTTGTTGCTGTTTCTTTAAAAAATCTACAACCTCTTTAGACGTGGTTGACTTCGTAGGGTAGTCATGTAAACTTGGTAAAATCGTCTATAACAACAAATATGTGTCGGTAATTCTTATTAGTACTAGCCAGTGGTCCTAGATGGTCAACATGATAAGTATTTAGAGGTTCTTCCACTTGACTGGATGTAATCATCCTTCTTTTTTACCACTCTTTTTGTTACCTAGGATACAAGGAATGCAATTTCGAATACAATCCTGTATTTTGTTTTTTAAATTGGAAATGCAAAATTCTCTTTTAACAAGTTGTTCCGTCTTTGACACTGCGAAGTGTCCATTTTGATGAACTCTTTTAATAATTTCTGGTTGTATTGCTTTCGGAAACACTAGTAATTCTTTTCCGTCTTCAAACTTATAAAGTACATTGTTTTTGAGGAAATATTCCTTGTAGGTTTCTTCGTTTTCTAATATTTTCTTTAACGCCTGTACGTATTCATCCTTTCCTTGTGCNTGGTTGAACCTATGGTCCGGCTCCCTAAATCATCGAAACTCGCAAGCCGATCCACCCACTGCAGTTTGTACCAGAGTTTCGTCAAGGTTCAAGTCCCGTCGGATCGGAACACAAGCTTACTGAACATTAAACGATAAATGATAAGGGCGGAGAATTTGAGGAGAATTGGTAAATCCAGATATTTTGAATGTATCAAAAACTTGTGATGAGAGCATTGGCAGGAAGATTGAGAACCGGAATATTTGAATAAGTGAAACGGTATGAATGTAATAGCAATGTTCAGCGTAGAAAATGGAAGTAAAGGTGTAAGAATTAGCTGAAACATTGACGCATGCACTGGGAGGTTGTGATGAATGTAAAGAATGTAAGAGCGTTATGAATGTGAAAATTTAATGATCCTCTTAAAAATATAACCAGGAAGAGAACGGGGGTTTAAAGAAAATATAGAAAAAAATGACAAGTAAACAATTAATGAAAATATTGATGCATCAGCTAGAAGCGTATAATGAATGCTAAAGGTAAAGTTATGTTTAATTGTTGACAAAAATTGTTTGTAGAAATTCATAACTAAAACTTGTTTGAAAAATACGTATTTCTACAGGTTGTTTTCAGTAACTCGTTTCCAGTTAAAGATATCAAAAAACGTTTTTAATAAGAGTCGTTCTAAATAAGTATCTTCGTATCCCTATGTTATTTTCGATTATACAGTGTCCCATATTTCCTGGAGGCAACCTAACTTCATTTTTTCAAATGGAATACCCCATTTATTATTGCATTTTTGGATTCCTCGTTAAATTTAAGTACCATTTTGTTGATCATACGTTATATCTGCTACATTTTACAAATTTTAGGCAATGCTTAAGTCAGGAACATCTTTTGCTTAATGTTAAGAATCTGTTTCGATTCTTAAGCGTGACTTCACTTGCGGCGCAAAACATTTCCGGATTTTAAGAACTACTTAAAGCTAAGTAGCACTTATTTACGTCGGTGCAAACGGGGATAAATCAGCAACCGGTAAGCCAGGTATTCTCAGTCGAGCGCATTCACTACGAGTAGGTGAACGCAACAGGCAGAGTTTTACCCTTTTCGCGATATTACCTTTTGGGGCGTTTTTATGCCACTGTGTTGTTAGTGTAACATTTTTTCTTCGCAATTTTATTTTAAATAAATAATAGTTTTTCACAAATTCGTTTATTTGTCATCATCATAAGTTTAATTTGTTAATAGTTTAATTTTTTAAAGTTTATAGGGGCATGTTTATAATATAAAAACTGTTTTGTTCATCATGAAATTGAGTTTTACCCCACCATATTGGTTAAATTACAAAAGTCACTATGTTAGTTGAGGGTTAAAATTGGGAATAAGTTTCGTTTCCAAATTTTTCGATTAATCTTACAGTTGGGTCACAATAACCATATTGAATACCGTTTGGACCACCATGTATACCTGGTTTTCAAAGAACATGGAATATTTTTCTATTATTAACAACATTTATTTACTTAATATTTTGCCAGTTTTTATTCATCAATTGCTTCTAACTACAACAGGTGAACATCACACTGTAAAATATAAAAGTTGAGTTATTTCAGTTATAAAAAACATAACGGAATTTGTCAGAAATATTTTTTATTAGTTTGGTTGCCTGTTACGTATTTGAATTGCGTTGTAGATTCAGTCTGAAATGTGGATGACTATTCCTATAAACTTTTTGGTAATGTATTTTAAGGAACATCAAACTATTCTTCAACAACCTATTTGCGCTGGAGTGGTCGGTGGACATTTAGACTTTCCTTTGTTTGCATCATTTGCTTCTATAAAACTAGTATTGTGGTGGGAAGATGAATTCTTGGCAGGATTTCGTTTATCGTCAGGCTTAATAAAGAGACATGCTGACATTCAAAAAAATGACGAAGTGGCCACAGAAGAAGATCATGTGGAAATTGTGAAAACATCCGACCCACAAAAATTTTCATCGTTAATCATAAGTTCGTCTGAACAAATCCTAGGTAACAAAAAGAAATAGAAAATCAACTTTTGGTTATATTAACAACAGAGAGAGTGTGTTTGTGTTTGTTTGCGGTTGCGTGTTCATCATCATGTTTGTTACATATTTTATTAAATGGAAGTCAGTTTTTCCAAAAATAATTACTACCGCATTTTGAACGTTTCAGATCATCTTCATGCGTTAACACAAGAAGCACTCGATCACGCGGATTTATCTGTATTAACGGGAACTATTGGAGCATCTTCGTTATTAAAAAATTGCATATGGTTTTATGTCAATAAATGCAAACGAAGCCGATTATCAAATGAAAGCAACAACGCATTGAATGAAATACTTAGAAAATTTGAAGAAATGAATGAAGCTGTTGCAGAAAGATTGTTGGATCTACATTGCCGACTGTTGTCTCTTTACGTTTTGCAAGATCCGGATTGTTTGAATTGGGACAGTCAGGAAACATTCTTTGAATTGGAAAGAGGATCGTACACTATTCAAATGTGGTGGCTCTATATGAAAGGTTAGTCAAACTATCATCGTTTTTTGTAGTTATCTACAGGTAGATTTTTAAAATAATTTAATAAAGGTGTAAACCCACAATCTTATTTTCAGTACTCAGAGTTATCCAGTTTTTACTATACCTTGAATGTGTAATATATGTCGAGATTTCCAAATTTATGCTTCATGTAATTGAAAACATTTTTAGATAAGTAATTTAATTTAATTTTTAGTTTCTTCAAACGTCATATATAACGTAAATCCTACAGTGACTACTGATTATCTAAGTAACGTAGTGCTTTGGAGCCATTGTTTTGCTTATAAACTTTTACTATATTAACAACCATGCAATTAACACCGTTTACACTCATTTACTGAACTACGTTAATACACTAAACTAGTCAATGAATGAAACTAATTTATTAATTTGATAAAGTAAATTAATAAACAATATTGGGAGTAATCAAGAGTCAAAAGCCACAATAGGAGATTGAGTTTATGGAGTCTACCTTGATTTATTCGCGGCTTACTGGGAGATGTTGTCTAACGGTCTGAAATCTATCGCTCTCGGCTGATATTTAAACTACTCGACATGAGCACTCTGCACATGGCGAATCTCTAATTCGAATGAATTATGGATTTCCTCAACCAAGATCTTCCGATGACTTCATGGTCTTACTAAATATCCCCCTTACCCCTTTTTTCTGGTTCTTTATACTTTACGACATAGTTCTTGTTTGCATTTCTACCACACGGAACGCCACGACTTGGTCACGGTCTAGATCCGTAGTTCCCGTGTGGCTATCCTACATAGATGCTCTGCGTCTTACAAATCGTATTTCGACATAGCAATAAATATAATTTTGTAGCTTAGTTCAGTACAGCAATTCCACGTTTCGTAAATTATCTTAAATTATACCGGAATAAAGTCAAACTAATTCTGTAAATTATTAGCACCATAGGACTCTCTTTCAGAAAAATCACGTCCTCGTGAAGCCTAAAACAGCTTACTGCAAGAATATTTTTAATAGAATAAACAACTGTTAAGCCTTAGGAGCTGTACAGGGTGTGTTTGAAATAAGTAGTAAGATTTTGAGGGTGTCATCTAGACGCTGTAAGGAATCGCATGATGAGTACAGAGGATTAAGGGATAAAAAGAAATTATAAAAAAAACACAAGTTACAATCCGAAACTAGTTCTGGGCGTGAATTGGCAACATAAGTCCTGTATCATTGCACCAAGTTGAGAGAAGGACTCAACGTTGGAGAACGTGAACAATACTTGTCGATCGGCTGAGATAAACATCAACAAAACTACCACTACATATAATGTTTAGTATGACGTTATAACAAATAACACAATACACAAAAACACAAATTTTCACACCATCCTTGAGGTATTGCCAAGGCGCGTTACTTTTCTTACAAAACACACACACATCCGTACACTGCAAAATTGTTAGAAATTTGAAACCCGTTCTAGACGACTGTCATCGAGACATCTACCATAATTATTTCTGGCTTAGGCTTTCCTGTCGAAACCACTGATACAAATCTACTACCAGCAGAAAATCACTTTGCTACAAGACTTGTTTTATTGTAAATGATAAGATTACAACAATTGCTAGTGTAAAATTTGCCACACTGTCAAATGAGAGGGGCCAACGTTGCGTGCTATTTAGCGTATACTACTTTCGGGGTTGTCATCTATGAAAATCAAGGATTTTATCTTCTTAGCGGCGATATGGTTCGGGCGTTGACCCTCAAGTCCCGCAAATGTAATCTGACAAATAATAATATTACATGGCAAAAAAGTACAATGGACATACAACACTGATACTGTCAATTACAAGCTGGTTGAATACGGCGTTACATTGTGGCATTTGTTTGATTGTTGTGACGATCGTCGATGGTAGGAGTATATGGCTTTGTGTTTCTCGTGTACGTACGGGCGAGATTCCTTAGACCAAACATTGCTGCGCACACTTCTTTCTTAAAAACTGTGTAATTTTATTTCTGTTTATTTAATGATTTTCAAGAGTAAGCAACGACGCTGTCGTGCCTCTGGTTCTGTCTTTCTTACATGAAAATGGTTCTCTTCGCGTATGTTAGCTCAGTAGCTGGGTCATAGTCAATAGGGACCCACAACAATTTTTACTTAACGACTCTGTAAGTATTTTCATGAATCTCGTTCTATTCAAATCTTTCTATTACTGTTGTGCGGTCGCATAGGGGTTTCTCTATATCAGCAAAGAACTTACTAGTCCTGTAGAAATTACACAAACCTTCAAGCCTTGTGACATGTTTCTCAAACGTCCTGGACCATACTATTAAATCGTCTAAACGTATCAGAAATGTTTTGAAGAAGAATGAAAGGGAGAAGAAAATAAGGGAAATCGAAATATAAAAAATAAAAGGTAAAAAGTTAAATGTAATAATACCCAGAAAAGGGAAAAATAAGTAATACAAAAGATGTGAGAGATGGAATCTAAAAGGCACTATAAAAGTTTTTAAGAAAGGATATGAAAGTTGAAGCAACAGTAGCAATCTTAGAAGAGAGGTTGGAAATATTAAGACAGAAAAGCTAAAGGGATCAAGGGAATCAAGTCTATATTAAGGGAGATCTATCAGCAGCAGAAAAAAGAATTAAAAATATAATAGTGTAAAGAATAAGAGAAGAGAACATAAGAGAAAAAGAGCCAGCGTTAGATACAAAGGTGGGGCATAAGAGAGTGTAAATTAAAAGAAAGAGTACGTTATAGAACTAAGAGACAGGGAAACTAGCAGAAATAAAAGGAAATCACTCCTTCCATAATATGGAAAACGTGGTAGAGGTGTAAGAAGTAGAAAAATATGAACATTGCATGGAATATGGCAAGGATCAGAAATAAGCATAATAAATTCTTGAACAGATTAAAATGAAATAATATATGTAAGTGAGACGTAGATAGAAGTGAAGGATAATAATATAGAAAGATTAGATTATAAGTTCTCTTTAGGATTTCAGACAACCGAAATATTTGTGAATCCCAAGTGCAATGATAGTGTGCATGCGAACAATAGAGCAAAACATTTATAAAGAATATTTTGTATAATGTAGGTATATTTAATATTCTATGGAAATAAGTAGTACATCAGTCAAGTATCAGTATAGGTAGCTCGTGTCATTATCAGCAGATAAATATTTTTCTAAAGTTAGGTTTCTTCAAATACTAGTTTAGCAATTCCTTTGTACAGTTTAGACGAATACCCAGAGCAGGTAGCGGGGTGCATCACCGATTGCTTCATACTACATTTACGTTTCTCGTAATTTATAAATACCTAATCTAGCTAATACAGCTACCCTGTTTGGGATTTTTTCATAGCAATCTGAGTCAACTGCTTAGGTTGTAATATTTGGTGGTGGTGGTTTTCTTTTATATTAGCATGNTCTAATATTTTCTTTAACGCCTGTACGTATTCATCCTTTCCTTGTGCGATTTGTATACGTTCTAACACTCCATTCTCCTTAGAAATATCCTCAGTAATTGTCATCAGCGTAACGGGATATCTGCTTAGTTTTTCCTTTTCTGTGCGCAATCTCATATGTGTATTCCTCCAAAAGTAAAGCCCAACGTACAACTCTTGTGAGATCTTTTTTATCCATTGTACGTTGAAATGCGGCACAATCTGTCACTATTCGAAATTTTTGACCTAGCAGGTACACTCTAAATTTTTTAACAGCATGAATAATAGCGAGAACCTCTAACTCGTAACTATTATATTTTTCCTATCAAAATTTCGGAAATACCCCGTAAGTCCTAGAAAGGATTGAACTTGTTTAGTCGTCGTAGGTTACTCTCCATTTTCTATGATGAATCCTAAAAATTCCACTTTCTTCTGTAAAAATTGACATTTTTGCTTCGATCTCTAAACCATACTCTCTGGCTACTTGAAGAACTATTTTCAATCTTTCCAATCCTTCATTTTCATCCTTACTTAACACTATTAAATGATCCATGTAGTACATCATAATATTTTGTCTTGTCAAATCTCGAAAGATGTAAGATATATATCTTTGAAAAACAGCAGGACTATTGCAAAGACCAAAAATTCATATTGCCCACTGGGTGTAACAAAAGATGTATATTTAATGCTGTCCTCCGCCACGAGCACATGAAAAAAACCATTTTTCAGATCTATGGTGCTGACAAACTGAATACCTTCTAATTGATCTGGAACATCCTCATTCAAAGGTAGTGCAAAACGATCTTTAATGATATTCTTGTTTAATTTGCGATAATCACAGCATATTCTCGTAGATTCACCTTTCTTTTTAACGAGTACTATTGGGCTTGCGTAATCTGATGAGCTAGGTCTAATTATATCCTCTTTTGTTTATTCCTTTAATTGTCTTTCTACTATTTCCTTTTCAGGTATAGCTAGTCTGCGTGGCCTCTGATCATCGTTTTTAAGAACTATACTCATTTTGATATCAGTGGTCTTTGATTTTTCTGGTTTGTACGAATTTATTAGCTTCTTATCTTCATTTCGGTATTTATGATCTTCAATATGTCGAAACATTAAATCCTAATTGTCATCATTTTCATCTATTGCAAAATGCATCAGAAAGTCACATATGAACAGCAATTAAATTTTTCGTCTCTTCTTTATAGATTCGGTTATTTAATACGAATATCTATACGCTTACACATATGAACAGCTCAATAATAATGCACTGTATGTACAGTCCATTTCAATTTGCATCATCTGCAAATCTAAGCATACTAATCTTTTGCCCATGCACATCTATCCCTACAGTTGTACTGTCTTTAATGATGTTGATGGCGTCTTCGATGTATAGATTAAAAAGTAGCGGTGACAGTGTGCATNAACTACGTTAATACATTAAACTAGTCAATGAATGAAACTAATTTATTAATTTGATAAAGTAAATTAATAAACAATATTGGGAGTAATCAAGAGTCAAAAGCCACAATAGGAGATTGAGTTTATGGAGTCTACCTTGATTTATTCGCGGCTT